AGCAAAAGAGAAGGGAAGAGCCTGGATGGATAATAGATAGCCATATATAGTTAACAGATAGCTATGGGCTTTTTCCCAGGACCTAGAAGGCAAGAAGGCTCATTTGGGGAGTGGAAATTAGGGTAAAATATTCCAGGCAGTTGGTGGCTCCAAAGAATGCAAATGAAGGAGGTAACAACTTGAAAAGAAAAAAAGGATAAGAAAAGTAAGCAGCTGGTGCCTGTAGCAAACATCCAGCACTTTAAACTTGTGCCAAGCTGATTTCATAAAATAAGATTATGGTCCTGTTACTTACATAATCTGCATATACTGTATACACTGTGGTTTCTCCACACTATGGTAAAAATGGGTTGTGTTCTTTGAAATAATGCCTGAGCAATACTTTGGAGAGGAGGTCGATGGAGAATTAAAGCAAAAGTTCTCAATCTCAAGGGCATGATCTCTGGAGAAGTCCTCCCATTCCCCTCCCCCCATATTTGAGCCTTTGGAGTGAAAAATTATTACTTGAGCAGTTTCCATTTATTGAGCAGTTAGTGTTTGGAAGGCTAAATGCTTTGAATGGATTGTCTCATTTATTCTTCTGCGAGTTAGATAATGCTATTATGCCCAACTTTACAACTGAGGGAATGGAGGTGTAGCTTGCAGAAGGGCAGTGTTAAGACTGTCTGGCTCTGAAGTCCAAATTATTTCTAAAACACTGCTCTGCATTTGTTAGTCCTGAAAATACCCTGAAGCAAGTAACAATCACTATAAAATGCTAAAATTAGTAATACCTACTGTGAGGTTATAAAGTGATATGGTCATACTGCATTGGTGGGAATGTGAATTAGCTTGACCTTTCTGAAGGACAATTTGGCCATATTTACCAGAAGAATTGTAAGTGCAAGTGCCTTTTGTTTCAATTATTGGATTACTAGAAATTCACCCTAAACAGTAACTGACAATGATATACATCCAAGGCATTCAGTGCAAAACCCTAGAAGCAATCAGTGTCTTTCAAAGGGGAGCTGGCTAATTAACTTATGATACAGCCATGAAAAAAAATGAAGAAGGCCAGGCATGGTGGCTCATGCCTGTAATCCCAGCACTTTGGGAGGCCAAGTCGAGAGGATCTCTTGAGCTCTGGAGTTTGAGACCAGCATGAACAATATAGTGAGGCTCCATCTCTACTTTAAAAAAAAAATTAGCCTTGTGTGGTGGCATGTACCTGTAGTCCTAGCTACTTGGGAGGCTGAGGTGGGAGGATCCCTTGAGTCCAGGAGGTAGAGGCTGCAGTGAGCTATGATTATGCTTCCGCCCTTCAGCTTGGGTAACAGAGGGAGACACTGTCTAAAAAAAATATTAAATTACATTTTAAAAAGCAAGGTACAGAATAGTGTATATAGTGTGATTACTTTTATAGTACAGTATTTTTTTTTTTTTTTGAGACGGAATCTCACTGTCACCAGGCTAGAGTGCAGTGGCATGATCTCAGCTCATTGCAACCTCCACCTCCCAGGTTCAAGTGATTCTCCTAGTAATTTAAAAAAATACGTAGAGACTATAGATTGATAGATATACTAACATATAAATAATGTTCCCCCCAAAATAAGAAGCTTTTAACAATAAATACCATTGTGAAGAGTAACTGAGTTATTATTTTTGCGCCATTTGCAACAACTTGGGCTTCTAAAATTTTGTTCCCCTCCATGTTGCTATTTTTTAAAAATTAACACTTCATTAAAATTTTTAAATGAAAACCAAATCACTGGCATTTATTGAGGCTTTATAATGTGCAAGGGACAGTGCTAGGCACTTTACCTGTAATACCTTATTATATTCTCATATTAACTTTTCCCCTTTTTACAGGTGAGGAGTTAGAGGCTCAGACAAATGAAATCATTTGCTTGGGGACACACAGCTAGAATGTGGGGGAGCTGCAATTTTAATGTCCCTCTGTCTCATTTCAGAGCACTGGCTCTCAACTGCCAGGCCACACTCTTCTAGTTGGTCTTTATACCATCATTGCACAATGAGAGTACACTGGCAAACAACTGGAGTCCAATGAGATAATGTATGTGAAAATACTTTTCTAAGTATAGACATGTTTGGGGAGGGAATTTGTTTAAATTGGACAGACCTGTCCACTGATCCCCAGACAGTCAGGGTTTTTTTTTTTTTTTTTAACAAAGCTGAGGTAAACAACTTGCTTTTGTTCCTCCTTTAAAAATATTATAAACTTATATTTACTCCCCCTTTACCCTGATTATTGTTTAAAAATTAAAATGATATGGAGAAATAAAAGCCATTTCATAATAGTCCTCACCCATAATTACTTTGTTTCAGATTTGAATGGCTATGTAACTTTTACACACCCGCATTTTACATAAACAGTAGCAGCTAGACATTTTTTCAGTTTCTTGCTTTTTCAGCCCTACAATACATCTTGGCCATCTTTTTATATCAGCACTTACAAATCTAGTTTTCTCTTTTAAAGTGGCTGCATAGTATCCCATTTTGTGAATATAGATAGGTAAATAGGCAGGTAGGTAGATGATAGATAATATAGATAGACATAAAACTTTAAAAAATCACCTGCTGAAGGACATTTAAGCTTCCTCCAATTGTTTGATTTCCTAATCAATGCTGTAATGAATACCCTTCCTGAGAAAGTTTAGAAGGATCTTTAGACTGAGTATGATATTTGTCCACCCTATAGTTTATGAGAGTGACCCCACAGGGGAGGAGTATGTTTCATTGCATGGAGAAACAAATAACTCTCTCCTAAGCATGACCAACACATTCAGAGATATTAGGGTTGCCAACAGGTAGGATGACCTGAAAAACTCCTCGTTTTGACAGTTTAGTAATGAGCAGATATTTGCCATGATTGCTCAACACTGGCTGGACAGAAGAGGAATTTCCAGACTCAGTTACAAGCACGGCTGGTGGAGGACTGTGAATCCCACCAGACAGTCTGGAGACAGCTAGACAGGGAGATGAGCAGCAGAGCTCCAAATCAGGCAACAGCAAGTGTGAAAGGAGCAGTGACCTGTGGGGAAACTCATAACTCACAGACCAAACCTCTTCCAGCAGAGGGCAGTGCCTCTGATATGAGGCAGGTCCCAGGCCAGCTGAAGCCAGAGCTGGGGACTTCGCTGGAGAGACGGCACCGGTCTGAGGTCAAGGAGAAACTGAACTAAACTCTCCTTTGACTACTGTAAGTGACATTGGGGAATACTCAGGGAAGGACAGTGGGACCTCACACTACTGTGATTCACCTGTGTTCTAATCTCCAATAATTTGGACTGGGATCTCTTTATAGAGTTTGGCCATTTGGGGCTTGCAAGTAAGGGAATTTGGAGTCATTTTTGCTAGGCTGGCCACTGAGTCTCCCATGTTTCTGGGTACAGGCTTGAATTGTCAAGAAAGTGACATACCTAAAATACAGCCTAGCCTCCTGGCCCTGGGGCTCTGTGGATCCGACACAAAGTTTGCAAATAGAAAGCTAGCAAAGGGAAAGATAGTGGGAAGTAACAATTTTATCTAAAAATTAGAATCTAACACGAGTTACTACTTGCTTTTGAATTTCAAAGGCTACAAAGGATGGCCTTTAAAACAAAACTTCAGCATGTAACAGCCAGCCAAGCAAATTGTTATACATGCAGATAATCAAAGATTAAAATAAATTAATCTCTAGGCCTAAACCGTTTCCAATCAACTCTTTTCTGAATATTGGTTACCTTTTCTGCGTGTAGTGGTTGGAATCGAATGAGAACGTAGCTGAGTAGAGTACCATAAAGTCTAGTTCTAATGCTGTTGTTTTCGAGCCTCGTGATTTTTTTTTAAGTGACTTTGGTATTCGCTGGTAAAGTCAAGGCAGATTTACCCAATGATAAAAGTACCGTGTGTGTTTGTCAGGCACGGCCAAGTAAAAAGCACCGCATACGAAGTCTAAGGGTAGTTTGCATACATCTCTCAGCAAAATAGCAAGTGGAAGAAATACCAGCAAGGAGAATAAACTTTCAAACGGGCCGTTAGATTTTCCCTGAAACTTCTAGTCCAGGGATGTTTGGCGTTCTCCCGGTAGCTAGATTATTAGCCTGCAGTCCCGCACCGGCCAGCGAACGGCTCAAGTCCTCCGGTCAGGGGGCGGGAGACTGCGGGGCTGAGGTGCTTCTACCGGTTTGGGGGTGGGACGGTCGGCGGCAGCCGCGGGCGGGAAAGGACGAACGCAGCAGGTTCCCAGAGGCCCGTTCCGGAGGCCGGAGTCCCGACCCGAAACCTTCCCCTGCCGGCTCGCTAGCTCAGCAGGGCGCGGCCCCAGCACCACCCGGCTCGCCCTGGAGAGGTGGGACTTTCCCCACCGGAAGTGATCCCGTCCAGTCTGGGGGAACTGGGGCACCTCAGCCAGTGTGTCAGGGAAACCCTTCCGGGTGTGTGCTGGGGGGGGTGGGGGGTGGGAGAGAAAAAAAAGAGGTGGGTTCGCCTGGAGTCCCTGCGGCCGCCACCGCGGCTGGACGGCCCCCGCCCCTTTCCCCGCCGCGAGCGGCAGCTCTGGGGCAGCGGAGAGACAGAGGAGCCAAGGGGTGGCCATGGCCTTGGCGTGACAGAGCCTCCCCGGCGGCCAGGCGGGTGCGGACGGCGGGGTAAGCGGCGGTGTCGGGGACAGCCTGATCCGGGTGGCAGCCGGGGGAAACGGCGGCCAGCGCCGCTGGTTCGGGGCGGGGGTCAGCCGGGTAATGTGCGTCCCTGTCTCCTTCACAGGCCGGACGACCCCCGCGGGAGCCGGGGCCCAGAAACCTGCCCAGGCAGCGGTGACTGGAAGGGAGCCCGCAGGCCTGGGCCGGCTCGGCGGCGCGAGCAGGAAGCGGGGTCCCTGGGCCCCTTTGTGTGAAGGGCGGGGGAGGAGTACCTGGCAGCCCCGGGCAGCGGGCTCCTCGGACGTCCGCCTTGCCGCGGGGTCCCCTCGCTGCGGCCCACACCCTTTCCCTCCCGGGGGCACACGCCTCCTCTCTACCCTCGCCGGACTTTTCCCAGGCTCGCCCTCCTCCCCCACGCCCCCTGCTCGGGCTGCGGTTCCTATAGGAAGGGCATTACCATCCCTTCCCCACCCACCCAGAGTGTACGCTCTTTCCCCTCCCCCTCCTGTAACTTCCTCTTCTTCCCCGGTTGGGCCCTCTGCTCCTCTGCACTCTCCTCCCCAGTTCGCAGATTTCCGCCCACCTTCCGCCTGGTCTAGCCGCGCCGCAGCTAGCGGGGTGATCTTTTCCCCCACTCTAGTAGGAGTTGGTGAAGGTGAGACTCATGAGGGAATACAAGGTAGTGGTGTTAGGGAGCGGAGGGGTTGGCAAATCTGCCCTTACTGTGCAGTTTGTCACTGGGACTTTCATTGAGAAATATGACCCCACCATTGAAGATTTCTACCGCAAAGAGATCGAAGTGGACTCTTCCCCCTCCGTGCTGGAAATTCTGGACACCGCAGGAACTGAGCAGTTTGCCTCTATGAGAGATCTCTACATCAAAAACGGCCAAGGTTTCATCCTGGTTTATAGCCTGGTTAATCAACAGTCTTTTCAGGTAACCAAACCAAGTATTGTAATTTGTTAGACGGGGGTGTGTTAATCGAAATAGACTTGAGTTGCTTGAACCATGCATTAATGACTATGGTTTGCTTTTGAAAGTTAGACATGACGCATTTTTGAGGTTACTCCTGGCATGGAAGACTATCGGGTTGTTTCTACAGAGCGTAGTAAAACAAGCGTTAACAAATATTTTAAAGCTATTTTTAAGTGAAAGAAAAGTGAAAAAGGAATAGGTCAGTCTGTGTATGTTTAGCCCAGAATATAACCTTCTGAAGTTGCTTGCTCAATTCAACAAGTATTGATTAACTTACTCAACAAAACATCTAACAGATAATTTAGGGTAAATAGAGCATTTTGAAAAAATTATTTGGAGCCGATTATCTGTTGCACAGATAAGTCCTCTGTGTCTGCTCCACCCACGCATTCCCCTCCCACCCACCAACACCCCCTCCCGCCGCCCTCCCCTTCTCTCTCAAGTTTCTCAACTAGATTCATAAATCTTAGTGTTGCAAGACGAAGAACTCAAGACCTGCCTTCTAGGCATTTTACTTAATTACTTGGGGCGTGTAGTGGGAAGGAAAGTTACTAATAGAAAAGACTAGTACCTAGAATCAATAACCAACAAAATCAGGAATGACTCCTTTTCTGCAGTTGATCCAAATTGTTTCTGGTAACATTGCCTGTATTTACAGAAAATATTTGGGTCTGGCGATACTGAACAAGTGCAGATTTCTTACTCCGGCTGGGCGGCCAAACTGGATGTGGTCCATCTCTTAGAAAATCTGTCCTGTCCTTCACTGGGAAACAGACTGAAGGTTTAACGTTATTTTAGGAGATGCAATACATGTTTCTATTTATTCCTTGAAAATAAATAACCTCGTATTGACCCATTATATTAACCTCCATTGATTTAGGAAATGGATATTTTTTTTCTGCATTTAAAGGTATGCACTTAATGTTGCTTACTTAAGAGACCTTAAGTGCTTTAGCCAATACAATGTGCTAATTCCACTTTCTTTAGTATTTTAAATTAAAGTACTATAGTGAACTTTCCCAGTATCCTGATAGAATAACTTCAGGTATTTTGTTTTAAAATGATAAATTCTGGGGAAATAAATCAAAGCTATTGAGACCAAACTAAAGTTCATTTTATGTAGGCATGAACTCCCAAACAATAGTATCGTAAGAGCGTTTTCCCCCAGAAAGTACCAAAGTACTGAAGGTGCTGTTTGACAGGCAATTTTTCCCTAAAGGATCCTCAGGAGATTTGTTATTCTATCATCTTACTTTCTGGAGGCTGAGAGTCTTTTGAAGAGTTGTTCATACAATTTCTATTATATCCATTTCTGTTATAGACATGAATTGGGAGTGAAAAATTGTGCCATTATTTTGGTGGCGATGTAAACTCTTTTGAGCCCAAAGGCTATAAGTTTGGATTTTCAGCTGGACTTATGTTTCCATAAAGACGATGGGAAATAAGCATAACCTAGAAGACTGAGTTGATACATGATCAAACCAAATTGCTGCAAATATCAAATAACTATATTTTTATAGATTTTCACAGTCCCTTGCTTTTCCATCTACCCAGGTTTGAATATTCTGTGCTTACTATGACTTTGAATTAAGCATATATTTTCTATTTAAGGCAAACTTTTTAAATTGTGAAATACTACAAAAAATGTCAATTTTTAGAATTACATCTATAATATTGTCTGAAATCACTACTTGCCCCCACCTCCCAAAATTGATGCTACTGGAGAATAACTAAGGCTCTTATCTTTTGAAATTCTTTGTAACTACTTGGGAAAAGTAATACACATGGGGAAACAATCAAGTAGTGTAAACAAACACAGGTTAAATTTTTTTTTTTTTTTACTTCTTCCCATCCAGACATCCCTTGCACTGTCCTTCTTAGGAGTTGTTCATTGTTAACAGTAGTTTCTAGCGAATTTAAGTGTATTTTAAGGTGTTTGATTTTACTGGAATAAATGCATACCACTCAATTTAAAATGAAACATTTAAGTGTATCCATCTGGTTGTAACTCTTTTCTTCTAGGTATTGCAAAGTCGTTCCCACTTGAAACACTTTCTCTCAAGCCCTCTTGCTGCGTGGCTAGGAATGGGTAGATGCAGCAATCCTGTGCTAGGATAACAGGTGTTACAAGGACTGATGACAAGCAGGCAGGTTTGGGGAGATGGCCAAACATCCTTATGTATGAATGGATTAATCATTTCGAAACTTGCTTTTTTAATCAGTATAGACTGCAGGTGGGGAAAAGTGATTATATGAGTCAAGGTTAGTGTGCAACCCATGTTTTATATTCTTGACTAACTCAGCAGGTAGGGTCTGTGGAAATTATCTAGTTCTTCAGTGGACAACATGATGACATATTATCTATTTAGATGTGATTTCATTTTGGATTCAGCCTTGTATACTCACTGAGGTATGACTTTTTGTAATATTGTAATATTTCTGTTATGGTTATGCAAACAGTATAATTTTTTTCTTTCTCTTTGTGATTGTTTGAATAGGATATCAAGCCAATGAGAGATCAAATTGTCAGAGTGAAGAGATATGAAAAAGTCCCACTAATCCTAGTAGGAAATAAAGTGGATCTGGAACCAGAAAGAGAGGTTATGTCTTCAGAAGGCAGAGCTCTGGCTCAAGAATGGGGCTGTCCTTTTATGGAGACATCGGCAAAAAGTAAATCAATGGTGGATGAACTTTTTGCTGAGATCGTCAGGCAAATGAACTATTCATCGCTGCCCGAGAAGCAAGATCAGTGTTGTACAACTTGCGTTGTCCAGTAAAAAAGATAACCTCAATCATGGCCATACCGAGCAGGTTAGTTGTTGATGGACCTGTATGAATCGGGTAGTGTTTTGTTTTTTGATCAAGTATAATGAAAAGCTGGTTAGTATTATACACATGGCACTATCTTAAATTTCTTTATTTTTAGAGTAACATTTTCCATCACACAAAATAGTCAACATTCAACGAAGAAAATTTTTTAAAATGCAGATAAGCAAAGTGGAGGTAAGAAATTGCTTGTATTCCCATCACAAAGATTTTGAGTTACTGTTCTTCCTTCTCTGCTTTATTGGTAACATTTCTTTGGCTTGAGTTAAACCATAATACACTTTTTCCCTGTTTTTCTGATTTAGCATCCAAAATGCACAGGATAGCACTCAGTAATAATTTCAGAAGTTTTGTAGTATTTTCTATACTTTGTTTTTATATTCTCAGCAAGCAAATTGCTGCAATTAAAATCAGTAATTTACTAATCACCAAGTGCTTGATTAACAATACAATTATTTAATCAAATTCATCTGAACCTAGCACTTGAGGGACTTAAATAACCTCTGATAATAGCAAATTATAGTGCCACAATGTACCCTGACTTCGTTATAAATATGTGTTCCAAATGAGAATCTGGTTGAATTGTCTGTGATGTGTTAGAAAGAACAGTTTAATGCACAAAAAGTTGAATAGTTTAACAAATTATGGGATTAATAGGAATGGTAACAAACCTTCAGGCCTTTCACTGAGTTAAATAACTTACAAGTTTTTTACATGAATGAGTTTTTTGAAAAGTAAGATTATGTAAAACTTATGAAGCATTTAAAACAAGATTATTTTATTCATGTCATGATCTTTTAGTCTAGATTGTAATTGAGCAAATAGTCTCACTAAGACAGTAACACTTAGATAATAAGATAAAACAACCAATATTGTGAATGACTGAGAAACCACAGCAAATGCCAGACTAGCCTGACAGTATCAGGAATGAAATTGATCTTCCTGAGCCAAGGCTGACCTCGAGTCTAGGAGGCAGTGTTGAAAATGGCAACAGGCATTTCAGATTGCAGCAATGATTCCTAATCAAAGGTCTGGCTTTGTGTATACTCCCTGGAGAAAAGACTAACAGTCACTAATTAATCTTTTCAGACAAGGTCTCCTGTCAGATACTGTCATCTTTGAAAATGAAGGATGGCAACAATGCTTTATTCAAAATGCTTTCACTCATCAGCCTTTAGCATACCAGAATATGATGAAAACTCATTTATTTTCTTATGTCTAGCTACATCTGTTATTTTATAAAGTCACTGTTCAGACTGTAGTCCAGCTTATGTTTGGTTGATAGCATCGCACTTACAGTATAGTCTTTTGAGGAGGAGGGAGACTTATGGATCAAGTCCCATGTTCTTGCTGCTGTAATCTCTCTCCTTAAATTGTAAGCCATCTTCACATTTGAATGAGTTCTGTATGGTGATTGCATCTTTACCATTTTGCTTTGTTTTTCTATATGACACTTATTGGGCAGATGATGTAAGTGTACATACTCATTTTGTGTTAGTTTTATCATCTTTATAAAAAATTTACCAACTCCCACAAAATGTTCCCAGTTTTCTTGCCATCATTGGTGTAGACAGCTATAGGAGGTTAACTGAATAAAATTGGTCTCATACATGTAGAGGGCCAGCTGTCTCACCCAAATTGGCAGGTGAATAATTTCTAAAGCTATTTTTGAACTTATTTTCTTCTGAATTATTTCTGAGTTCATTTCATTTAATAAATTTTCGTATCTGAATTATTTTTAACCTATTTGGTTACCTATAGGAATGAGTACATAGATTTTTTTTTAGTATCTCAAGCCAACTATATTTACATTTTTGTTAATTAACATATTAAAAATGGAAAGTATTAATCGCAATACTTATTCATGTTTATAGTAATTGGTCAAGTTCTCTGTGCAGTTTTTTTTGCATGTTTTTGTAACCAGAATATATAAACGAAGGTGTCAGCCTTCAAATAAAATATCCAATAATCTGAATTTCTAAAACTATTAAGGGGACCTCCCTGACCAAGATCTTTTAGAACAAAGTGCACCATATGCAGGGTTTTTCTTTTCTGGCATCAAATAAAATTGAACTGATTCCCATATATGAGAATCTGTAATCTGAGGCTAGTAAAATTTGTGGTTGTCCTGGTTCACCATTTACCTAAAAAGAAAAGAAAATAGATGGTAGATTTTGAATCCTATAGCTTGAGTCATGGAACTTTGAAATTTGTCAGATCCAGATCTAGATTGAAGATCAAACTTTCACAGGTAAAGGTGATTTAAGAAATGTTTGTTCCTAATATTTAGAAGAGTACCTTGTCCAAGTTAGAAATAATAGGATGTAAATCAGAAACAGTTATTATTGTTAATTGGTTGTTTTTAACTGAGACGGAAAATGTATTAATGCTCTAGGAATTGCTTCTGATAATTCCTCACATTTATGTCTTAACACCTTTCAATTTGGGTCACTAGTCTCTTGCCTAACACCTGTTTATCTGCGTGACTCCCAGGATTGTTTTCTCACCTTTTACCCTTCCATTTGGCAGTAACTTTAGTGTAAGTTTGGAAGCATAGCTAGATTCTTTATACACTATCATCCTGATTTCTTTACTGACCTGAGGAGCCTACGATCAAGTGCTTTGAAGGGACTTCTTTTGCTGTATGGCAGCAATATAATGGAAAACTACCTGGGTCAGCATTGTAGCCCTGTTCTGGTTTCATTCACTATATCATAGCTTTTCTGTGCTGGTATAGATTATAGGCAGTTCACTCTTTTGGTGTATTTTTGTTGAGAAAGATAAATGTTTTGTTAATAATCCCATAGTACTATATATAAAATAAGTAAATCACTGTCCCGTGGGAGTCCAGGGAAAGGACAGACCAGGTCCAGTTAGAACAGTTTCTGAACATTCTGGAATCTTTGCTGTCTGGGGCTATCCCGTGCATTGTCAGATGTTTAGCAGCATCCCTAGCTTTTACCCACCAGATGCCAGTAGCATCTTCCTCATCCCCCACTATGACAAGCATATCTCCAGAAATTGCCAAATATACCCTGGGGACAAAATTGCCCTTGTTAAGAGCCACTGAGTTAGAGAGATTGGGAGCAATAGCATTCGAATCCAGCTTTGAAGATGGGTAGGACTTGAGAGGATTGGTGTGTGTGTGTGGGGGGGTGTCAGTGTTGATTTTCAAATAGAAGGAATGCCAAGAAGGAGCATAATAATACCCTTAAATATTCTGTTGATTACCTAATAGAAAGGGGGGAAGTGCAGTAAAGTTATCTCTTAAGTGTGACAGTTTGATATATCTTTTTGGCAAATAGAATGTTTTAAAGATGATTTTTCAAGGATTCCTTTATGTCTGTCCAGTATTGATGAAAGTAATAAAGAAAATGGGGGCTGGGGGGCGAAGGATGTTATTCACTGTGGTTTGAAGGTCTCCTGTAAGATTTTATACCATTTTTCTCAGTATATTATGGAACAGCTTCTCCCAACTAGAGTAAATGGTGCTTAAGAGTACCAAACACAAGGAAGCAAACTGAAAGAACAAAGATCATTATTTATGTCAGCCCCAGTTCATTATATATGTCAGCCTGAAGAAAAAGGGGGATTCTTGGTTCAAGACTAGCATATCATTTCACATGGCAGCAGAATGCCTGGGATGCTAACAAAAGCTACTGAAAGGCTAAATCATATATGAATGTGATTTTGCTCTAGGTAGGCTTACTTTTCTTAAATACAGTGGAATTGATGAACATTTTCAGGTTTTTTTAAAAAAAATAAATATGTAGAATCAGAATGGTTTTTAATTTTTTTTTAGGTTTTAATTAGATATGATTTGTTGGGGGGTTAGCAAATATGAGGAGAAAAATCCTCAAATCAAATCACATCACATACTTAAAATTTCCTATACAAGGTAAATATGAATAATATTAGTAAAACACTGGGGTCGAATTCTGTTATAGAAATTACAGTTTTGTTACTTATTTTTTCCCAATGCTCTGTTTGCATATCACTTTGAATGGGGAAAATGGCTTATTTAAAATGCTCATCTGTCATCCAGTTCACATGGTGAGTCAAAGTGGAGCAGAGGAGTTAAATGGAGGAAGAAGCATGCTTTGGGGGTAGTATATACCATAAAGGCCCTCAGTAAACCTGGAGTAAAAGGGGGAAACAGAGTTACCTTGCCCTTTCTACTACCCCTAATTCTCTCAGCTCATCACTGAATTCATAGGGTTCATGACTTGAGACTTGAGAGTGGAAAGGTACCTACCTAGTTAGACCTGCTCTGGATGTGGAGGTGTCTGGTGATTAGAATGACTCTTTGTATATCTGTTCCCTCTTTAATTGCTTCCTTTTAACCTCAAGATTAGGCTTTTATTGCAGAATAAAATGCATATGAACTATTCTATTTTACTCCATTACCTCTCTGGCTTAGAATGAACCATCAGTAGAATTAACAAAAATTGCATCATGGAGTTGGAGAATTGCCACCAAGGAAGTGTTCTAGCCATACTACAAAAAAGGTTCTCCCCATGGGATTACTTCTCAGTAGAATTCTACAATTCAGAAGATAATATCACTAAGAAAAGCTTAAGTCCTGTCAGCTGTTAGAAAAGCTTATCCAATCAAAAACATATTCCCAAGTTCTTTTGATTAGCCAATCTTAGGAATATCAAATTCAGAAAAAGTAATTTAGAGTTGAGGGGATTACTAACTTACCTGGTCTAATTCAAAGCTAGCAGCTGGAATTGGATCATTGGGCTCATGCTGCTGTTTATTATCACTGGACTTGGTTATAATATTTGAGATCTCATAATTGAACTCATCATATTAATTTAAACATTCAGAGATTTTATGTCTAGTACATAAGAAAAATAGCTAATTCTGTCCCTTCTACCCTGGGTCCACCATAAACATTTAGTGAGCTTGCTTTCCTTCATGTGTGATTCTACCTCCATTCAAGGATTTTATGCCATAGGTTCAGCTTTTGCTCTCTGTGT